GTGTTTTTTCAGGGCAAAAATTACAAAACGTTCAACGTTTTCTTACTTCTGTTGATTTTTTACCTCTTATGCAGTTGCATGACGATATGTGTAAGACACTTTCAGCAATTTATTGCAAAGTACTGTTAATATCCGCTTAGAATCATCACAACCAAGGAGCAAATCGAACATTCAAGCTTTATGCTCATTAAGTATAGCTCTGGAGAAGGCAAAATATGTTATATATTGATAACTTAAGTGACCGAAACGCTACTTCCTTAAGATCAGTGATCGAAAGTAAACAAAAATGAAACGATAATGTGAATGACCAACACGTTACCTTTTTAAGATCAGTGAAAAAAATGAAACGAAAGTGGCAATTATGGTAATTTACCCATTATTTAATTGACTTCATCTACCTCAGACATGACAAAGAATTCAATATAAGCAATTCAACTAGGCTATTGATGGGCAGCAGAATCAATGAGTATGTGAAGCAATTGCTCTTGCTACTGACTGTGTTTTAAAAGGCGCGAGGCGCTCCAAGGCGATTAGCTACCCGAAAGCCTCAATTTTTGAAACGAGGGATTCACGTACGCGAAGCGCTTAATTTTACAAAACATTTATAAATATTTTATAATCATACCTCAAACACAATTTAACCTTTGAATATGACACATTACGAATAGGGAATAATTTAGAAAAATGTTAAATGAATGAATATGACACGTTGTGAATAGGGAATAATTTAGAAAAAGGTTAAGGGAGAGAAGAGATAATTAATCAACGGTTGAGGTCTTGCCATGTTGGTTTAAACCCAATGTGAATCGTTTGATCTGTCGAGGAATGAAGGGTTCAGATTCGGTCATTATTTGATAATCAGTGATCGTGATTGTTCACTAAGGCTCGGAGTGGGTTTCATTGAGGGTGAAATAGCGAAAAGAAGATGACATTTAGAGCACAAAAAGAGGAAAGAGAGATATAAGGAGAAGAGGGAAAGAAGGGTAGAGAAAGAGAAGAGATCGAGAGAGGGAACGGGATAGAGAGTGAGATATGGAACGGGAAAGAGAAAGAGATCGCTTGAGTAGAGCAAGTAAGAGAAGAAGATGGGATAGATTGAAAAGTAACGGACAAGATGGAGCTGATGAAAGTTCTGAAGAAAGTGTAAACGATGATGAAGATGATGACGAGTCAGAAGGCGAGGGAACCACCGCTGGTGGAGGTTCTGTTTGGATGATTCCGCCAAACAACGTGGCCGGGTCTCTGTCCATTCACCATCAACAGCAACATCAGCACCGGCAGAGTTTTCCGGTACCGATGAAAGTTATTAGAACGACACCGCCATCAGGCCCTTCTATGACTACCACAACAACTACCACGTCTACACCGTCTGAGTCTTGCAATCATTGTACGTGAATCACTAAAAGCATCACCTCGTCGCCTCTCGCCGCCTCCGATGACTGAATCGCCACCTCATGTACTCGCCGCCGCCTTGGTGGTCGGAGGCTTTCTTCGAAACGCCTCGCCTAACGCCTCAGGCGCGCTTTTTAAAACACAGGCTACTGAAACTAAATGCTGAACTTTCAACATTCCTCCTCTCCCAATACTCAACTTACTTCCTCTGTTATCTTTAATAACACTGCTGGGATGATTCGAAGTTATTGCTCGAAGAAACTTGTATTTATACCTGCCAAGTTGCAAGACGAGAAGAGATGATGTTGATTTGCCCAAGTGAAATTATGTATGATGTAAAGACATACCTATAAGATACTTGGCGATCACAATGAAATGCACTCACAAGATCAGTGTTTACATAATAGCTGAAATCTATCTGCATACAGGATGATGAGTGGTTAAGCATCCGAAACCTCGATTTTGCTTACGAGTGTGAAAGTAAAACAACACCTGCAAGTCTCCATGGCCTTCTCCTTTAAATGTAACGGATGGGGGGTCGGGCTGTACAATGATCTGGATGCCCGACCCCGGCCATTCTAGATCATCCATTGCTTCCTTTAATGCTGCAGACTGAACTATATTGTTTTAATTTGCAGTTGTAAACAATTTCTTGAATGAATCTAAGTGGATATTCGAAGCATGTAAGAAGACCAAAAGGAGTGTGGAAGGGCTCAAAAAACCCACAACATCAGAAAAATAGGAGTATAAGAGTTTGAATTCCGAAGCAGCCATTAACAAATGTGTGCAAACTATATGCTTGGTTCTTTCTTATATGATATGATCACGCCAAGAGTATAAGAGACTGAATTCTGAAGCAGCCATTAACAAATGTGTGCAAAAGCTTCCTATGTTCTATCTTATATGATATGATAATAAAATACCTTGACAGTAAAAGTAAGTGGTGTGCTTCCAGATGGTTCGAAGTGGTAGCCCCATGAAATTGTATCTGGAATTCTTGTCCTGATTTCCGCATAAATGCAAGCATCATGCGAATCTATAGATCTAATAACCATTGGGGAAAAAAACCAAGAGCTGAATTTCACAATGCCAAAATCAACTCAAGTATTGAAGAAGCAGCTTTATTAATCTCTGCATTATGGACTTATTCAAGTAGAAATTGATATCACTGTTGATGGGGTCATTCCAAATTAGAAGAGTTACAAATTACAGCCATTGAACTAAAAACATACCACACTTAAATGCACATACTTGAGAAGAAGCTGCATATCAGGTCCTGGGTATTGAATCTCAATGGTACTGGAACGCCCAGGTGAAGAAAATGAGTTCAAGCAGTCGACAAAGAGTCTCAAGCTCACTCCAAATCGCGGTCGCCCTTAGCATTATATTCATAACGAACGAATAGCTGCAAATAAAAACGCTCAAATTTGCTACATATTAACTAAATGAAAGCAGAAAAAGAGTACCTCGCGTTGAAGATACACTTTGGCTTGAAGACAACCAGTATCCTCCACGATTAAAACCACACCATGCTCTGACAACTCCACCACCGCGTCCTACGATTATGCCAAAATTTGTATATTCAGATCCCCAACCCTATACTGGACTGGTACAACCTATAAATTCTCAAAACACACCTGATGGCGTTTCCAGAAAACGGCGGAGAGCGTCCGCCATACCTTAGACGCTGTCCAATTGGCATACGAGATCCGGCGCTTCTGCTTCTACTGCCGACGAGCTCATCTCTGTCCCCTCTTCTTTCCCCGCCAATTCTCCCTGAGACCTAAAACACACAATCCAGTTCTTATTGTTTAAGTAATGGCGGTATAATTGTATAAAAATTAGGGTAAATTATAACATATACTACTGAACTTTAGAAGTTATATCGTTCATGTAATTAAACTTTCAATTACTTCAATTGAAATATTAAACTTTCATTTTAGTATTTTAATTGAATTTAATGATATGAATGAAGAATGATACAATACTTAAATATTAGAACCGATAATTTAAATTTTTAATTAAAATAATTAAAATTTTAATAATATAAACTATAAACTGCATAAAATTTAGTAATATCTAATATAATTTATCCAAAAAATTATGAACCTTATGAATTCAAATTTGATTATAATAATTAGAATCTAAAATTAAAAAAAAATAGACATCAATTTGGATTACAATTTGAAATAATTTAAATTTACAATAATTTGGTTTAAAAAACTCAATGATCCAAACTTAAAAGTTATAAAAACAATAAAAATGGAGATTTTAAATTGTTGAATAAAATATGTAAATAATTCTAAAATGATGATATGATTATAAAAATAATAAATTTACATTCTTAGTTAATTTTTTTAACGAGATAAATAACAATTAATAAAAATAATTTAAATTTTTAAATTTCTAGACTTTATTTAATTTATTATTAACTTTTAAAAAACTAATCATTAATATTTTAAGAGTAAACTACGCTTTGTTAAATTTAATACGTGTATCTCTTATACCACTTAATTTTCAATTGTTCCAAAGTTTAAATGTACTAGTGTCCTCTAAACTATACATTTTGTACCGAATTGACCCTTAAAGTATTTTTCGATATGTTTTGTCTTCTGAAATTTAAATCGTTACATTATTTTCCCCAAAACGTTAATCCTATAAAAAAAATACAAACCGGTAACCAATCAAAACACGCCACATCACCTAATTTTGATTTCTTTTATCTGAATAAATGAAAATTAATTTAAAAAATAATATATCAAAAATACCCTTTTCCCACCTCCACCGTCAGCATTACTCTGTACCCAATCTCTCCCCAGATTCCTTGACCCTTTCCATCACTTCTTCCAACTCTATTGATTTCGTATATCTCTTATCCTTCCTTTTCACCTCATTCCTCCTTTAAAAAGGCCAGACAAATCCAACCTCCAATACAATGATATTATGCCAAAAGCATAAATTCCATTATAAACCATGTCATGTTTCAACTTTTTACCTTTTTTAATCGTTATCTATGGGTTTATTCGAGGAAGCTGTATATGTTAATGTCCAAAGCAGGCTAGAGTGTTTTGTGGGTTGGAATTAGGTGAGGCAGTATTTGCTTTACTGGAGCCCAATAAATAAGTGATAGTCCAACAAAATTCAGAATCTCTCATATAAAAAATTATTATATGAACCCAGATCACCACATTATCCATGGTCTAAATCAATCTATCTCAAAATAACTTTTAAATAATTATACACTCATTATTTACATGTAGTAAAGTAATGAAAATTCACCTTGAAAAAAAATGAGATGAATTTTATTAGCTAAACCTACGAAAGACATGATAAACCATTCCATCTAATAATTTTTCCTCTCAGGTAGACCGCCACCTAGGCAATATGATTACTTGCGGATTCAATTCAGTCACACATATAAAAAGACAGCAGATGTTGGAACTAGAGATGATAATAGAGGCTGAAATTCAAAAAATACAACATGATGACCACGTCTCCATCCAGCGGGTAATGCATGCAAAACCCACTTATTAAATATTGTTTAATAAATAGTGTTAGAAATGGGATGGAATCCCAAAAACCGGAGGAGTTTACTATGACGCATTTAGTAAAGAAAAACAAAGAATTCTTATTACAACGCAAAAGCATCCTCAACAATAACCAAACATAAAGAAACAAAATACGCACTCCAACCAAAAGGATTTTGCCCATAATCACATGCTATATATACTTGATACTATTCCCCCATCATGTCCTGCCACCCAACAAACCACATATCAATTACTTTACTCAAAACACCACATTCTTGCAGGCTGCAGGGACCCACCATCTTTATATTGTCCCATCATCATATTGGACGACTTTCTAGGCTGCCAGTACGATGATCACAATCAGAAGCACAATTCCGAATATCACCAGGAGCAAGCAGGCCTGCAAGTCAACAAATTAATTCCTTGGGTATGGCGAAATCATCTATGTAACATGGTTTCGTATGGGCACAGAACATGTTAGAAAACCTCACACTAAGTCTCACTATCACAAATAAAAGGGGGATGTGGCTATGTCTGTCTTAACGGATCCAATGCACAATTTTAGTTTCACAAAACAAAAGAATGAGAGAGCATTGTATATTACCAGAGAAGAATTTGATCTCTGACTCTTTGCAGCTTTCACAAGATGGGAATTTGCCTGCGAAGTGGCAGCCTGAGAATTTTCGATATGGGTTCCAATGTCATCTGCAATACATATTGACAGTCGGTACTCATGATCCAGACAATCAACAATAACCATGGTGAATTCAATACAAAAGAACAAATCTTTTACCAATCATAGTTCCTTGCTCATGAACTAGCACAGCAAGATCTTTGAAGATCTCGTTCACCTCACCAATTTGCTGCTGAATTTCTTGAAGTCCTTGTTCTCTTTCGTCAATGATAGCCTCGTTAAATGCAATCTCATTATCCAACAACAAGACCTCTTGTCTGCAAGGGAAAAAACTCAAAAGCTAAAGGCTGCAGTTGGACAATCAAATTCATAAAAATAAATAATAAGATAATACAGCAGGTAAACGGTCTAAACAAATAGCATCCTTGGATCACCATAAACTTTCTTTAAATTCTCAGCACGAAAAATAGACAAAGATAAGCACCGGTTGGGGGAATGAATAAGAGATCATCACCATTCCATAAGTATTTAGAATGCACAATCGAGTAATACATTATACGACTTGGGATCTTTTGATTGGCTATGATGCTCCAATCTAACATATGCCTATTGATATACAAACAACCAAATGTGCATATAGAGACACAGATACCGGGAAAAAGAATTGGCAGAGAGGGTTCATACAAATCCAGAATCTATTTACAGAAGTGATCCAAACTACCTGTACCGTGTGAGGGGAATGGCTTACCAAAAATTCTAAAGAACACTTACCTTCTTGATTCCACAAGGGCTCGCTGTTCGGTATCTGAACCTATATCCAACTCACCCGCCGTATAGCTGCATACAACAGGAAGAATCCTCTAGAATAAGATTAAGAATAACATGCCAAAGCCTAAAGCAAATTGAAGGATAAGACAAAATAATTTGAATTTGCAACATGTAAAATGCAGAAAATTCAGTGTCATTACCATTGCTAATAACTCAAATTTTCATGTGTCATTACCACAAGCACATTGAATTCACTCTGCTAGATATAAATGTAAGCGCTCCTATTATACATACCTTGAAGGAAGAGCTGCCTGGGAAACAAAAGGAGAATAAGATGTCTCTCTTTCAGCTGCAAGCCGCTGAGACTTTTGAAACTCTTTCAAAACAGCTTGAAAATCCTTTGCGAGTTTGGCATCTGTTATCTTCTTGCTTGCCTACAATAACAGGAAAGGACATCAAAATTTTACGAGTTTAAAGAAAACAACAACATCAAAGCTGCTTTGCTTGACATAATCAACCAGAAACCAAACTTACACTAACTTCAGCATTATGATCTGTTTCACTAGCTTGTTTCAGTTTAGATGAAGTGTCCTTCACTAATTGCCCAATATGTAGTCTTGTTTTATGCCTGCCAAGTGAGACATATCAGCTATAATGCCCACGCATGATATAATTAGCATACTTAAAAATCACCCAACAATATCAACAGAAAGCAAATGTTTACCATACAATACAAGGATGCACACTTTTAAAATAATCAAGAAAATCCAACATTAATATCAAGAAATCTACAAGCTATTTCGAGAACCATCAGGTCCACCCAAACAAAAATGAGAATTCTCCGAGCTTTCTCCAAAGGAAAGTCAAATTGAACTTGACCAAGGAAAGAATTTATCATCCCTAATTGGCCTTCCAAACTTTCTTAAAAAAAATCGAAGCTAAAATCAACGCAATTAAATAAAACCAGACCACAAATAAGTATTTTAATTCACAATTAAAAGACGATTAAACAGAAATCACGTGATCAGTTAAATTTGAAAGCGAAGGAATTGAATTGAGCAAGACTAACAGCTTTTCTCGGAGCTCAGGCGTGTCCTTTGGAGTGCCAAGGGTATTGACGAGTCGCTGGAAGGTGGAGACGGCGGTGTTGATTTGAAAAATGCCAGAAGCCACAGCTTGCGAGGCGTCTTGATTTCCATTGATCAGGTTTTGCCTCGACGCATATGATCGTCCAGCTTCCAGATCTTGAAAGCTCATGATTGCTCCTTCTCTTTATCCGTCTTTGTTGAAAACCCTAACTTTCCCGAGAAAGTTAAATTCTAGAGAAAGGAATGGGAAAACAAAAGGAACAGATAAGAGGTGACATTCAATTGCACGGTTAGGAAAAAGACGATGGAAACTTGGTGAAAAATGGAACCTAAGAACAGGGCGAGAAAAGGGGCACTGTAACAGAGGAATATCAATGAAATCGAATGGAATTTGACGTATTCAAATTATGTTTTTTTAAATAAAAAATGGTTTTTGTTTTTGTTTTAAATAAAAAATGGAATTCTAAGAATTTACTTTTAATTAGACAAAGTAATAAAATTTTGGCATAAGTATACAAAAGGTCATGTTTATATTCTTCGACTATTAAAAGTTATAAAATAGTTCATTGACTATTAAAAATTGTGAAATGATAACCTGACTATTCATATATTTCAAACTCATATTTTTTAATTAAAAAAATAACGATTGTCTTAATTGGATGTTAACCTCCTAGCCGGGATATGATAGAATCTTATTTTAATGATGTCTATTGACACCACCGTTACTTTCAAGCACTGGTTCGACAACATAATATATATCGAGAGTTGATCTACAAAATACAACTTAAATAATTATGGGGATCAAATTTCATCATATCCTAATCAACAAGTTAACGTCCAACTCAGTAGACCACCAATTTTTTAACGGAAAATGATGAGTTTGGAACATATGAATAGTTGAGTGACCAATTTATAACTTTTAATAGTCGAATAACTCAACAAAACAATACAATATAATTGGAGAATCATTTTATAACTTTTAATAATTAAGTAACTTGATAAAATAATATTTCATAACTGAAGGACCATTGTGTAATTTATCTAAATATACATCGATTTATATTTTTAAAATATACAAAGATTAGTGTAATATATCTCATGAGCTACACTAAATCAGGAATCACTTTCTCTATTAACGGTTTAAGCAAATTCACAAGTAATCTATGAGAAAACTACTGAAAAGTAATAAAAAAAGGTAATGTGATATCTCATATATACTCGAGATTATGGATTGCATTGTTCCAGAGATCCTACTATCTTAGAAGGGATATCTAATATTCAAGATACCAAAGGTACAAATGAATATGTATTCACTTTGGGAGAAGTTGTGTCTTCAAAATCTTCAAGACAAACGATTATAACATGATTCATAATTGAAACTAACTTTGTAGCTATAAATATATCTAGAGAAGATGTTGAATGACTTTGATATTTTCTTGAGACTAATCTGAATGGCTGAAACATGTGCCCACCAAACAACAATTTCTAAAGCATAAAATTCATGTATAATGATAAATCGAGACATATGTGTCATCTACATAATGTCATTAGCCATCTGATCTCAAACGGAGTTATATCTATTGGTTTTATAATATCAAATGATAACATTGCGGATCCGTTAACCATAAGGTTAAATCGAGTTCAAATTGAGAAAACATCTAAAGAAATGTGACTAAAGCCCATGCAAATTAAAGGTGCTATGTGAAGAAAATTACTACCTTGTTAATTGGAGATCCCAAGATATAGGTTCAAAAGGACAACCTAATTGTAGAAATTGTATGCGATCATTGTGGGAGTTTCTAATCCCAATTTTTCCCTATGATAAACAGTGATAAGAGTGGTATAGAATAAACAAAGCTTTTGATAATCATTGTGTGCTTTGATGAGCTGAGCAACATAAGTCACCTATGCGAGAATGAAGTGAAACCGCTTCAAGAAGACTATTAGACATAGTTCTTTCAAATTCTTACTTAATCATGTGATTTTCACGACTATATGAACATACACATGAGAACTAATATTCTTGTTAGAAAGGTAGTTGTTTGATGTATATCATCATTTACACAAATGTTAAAACAATTCAAGGACATCACATCTACTGGTTAGCTAGTAAAGTAAATATAATGTCACAAGGGAAGGTTCAAAGGAGAACACATATTATCCTATGCAACTATCGATCGTAGAGTCTATCACAACATCGAGTCAAAATATTTTGATAAAATCATCAGTTTCATTATGTGGGGGATTGTTGGAAAAGTTGTGATAAGTTGAAAAGTTTGAGCCATATGTGAACTGGTTAAAGGTGGAGATTTGAATGATAAATTTACTTATTCATATTCTACTTCATGAGGCCTTTAAAACGGTATCTCATATGCTCAAAAAGGTTGAGTAATGAATGAGAAATTGATGCTCAAAGTAGAGTACTTGTGAATTGTGTAAGGAAATGGAAAATCCATATCCTACATTGATAGGTTAACAAGCATGAGAAGTGTTTATATACACCAACTCACTTATTAGTCATTGAATGACTTAAATTAGGATTGTATCTTGTGTGTAGGCATAGAGAGGTGAAAATTTGAGCTTGTTGAACCCATTGGGGTTGAGGAGCGCACTTGCGCGATGTGAATGAACTTAATTTTAGAATATATTATTTTCAATTATTCTTAAATGCGAAACTACTATAAATACCGTACAAACCTGCTAGGCTAAACACAATTCAAAAAACTTTTTTTTCTCCTGTAGATTTTGGTGATAGGCTCAAACAATGGTATAGTTCGTGATCATTATAGTTGTACTATTGTAAGCTGATCATCTAGTTATTGTATCCTGAAAGACAGACGATCGACGATCTCAAGCACCAAGCAGTGATCGAAAATATATATTAAGAAAAATGTGTTAGTTACATACCTCAACTCATTTATGTTCGTTTAATCCATCAAAAATTTGTTTTTATATTGTTCTTTCCGATTATTTAATAAAATATTTTTTCTTTTTATTTTTATGGTCTCATGTTGTTATATTTGTAACACTACTTTGAACGTTGAAGCACTTTTAACTTGATCTCTCTTCTCCAATGAGATGCTAAGAGGCTTTTTAAAAATTGATAACTCTCTCCATTGTATTTTAACATGTGGTATACGGTTCCTGTTAATTTTGCTTGTTGCATCTTTTAGTTTTTGTTTTTCAGATAACTTAGGAAATATTTTAGCATCATTAGCGTTTTTTTCCCTAAGATTTTTTTTAATGAACAATTTCAATGAGTTCAGTTGAAAGTACCCTCGATTTCTACAACGGTTTTCTTGTTTATACTCCAGGTTTACACTTATAAATAATATATATCTTAAAACACGTGATTTGTTTTTTACTTTTTAATTGTTAAGTCAGACTTCCGTTAATATGTTGTCGGGAGTTTGCGGCTGAAGACCAAAATAGACTAAATCTGTAACATAAGGGATCAAAACCAATCTTTTTCAAATCGGGGACCAAAATCAAACAAACTCAAAACATAAGGGACCAGCTGTGTAGTTTATCCAAATATATATAATGGTTACATCCGGACCACAGTGTTGAGTCTAGTGGTTAAAAAAGTACGCGTAAGTAATATATAAACCAATTGAACTAAATACTTTGACAAACCAGCTTAGGTTCCAAAAGAGAACAAATAAACAAGGACTATGAATTTGTTATGCATGATAACAAGCAACCACTGTCAATAGCTTAGACGGCAAGAAACTAGCAAATGAGTTATAGAGTCTAAGCGAAATTCTTTATTCTGCTGGCGAATGAATTATGTATCAATTTCTCAGGTACAAAGAAATCAGATCATGTCACGATGTTGGTAGTTGTCGGTTAGAAGTCTCATTTTCTTCAGCCGCTTCATTGTGATACCCTGCCCAACCTAGGTTCACAGCCATGTCCTCAACTGGCACCTTGATCACGTCAGTTCGAACGCCTAAATCTGTTGCATATCGGCTTATACAGTACATCCCAGCTGTGACTGTTGCCATGCCTATAGAACTGGGCATCAAAACCTTCAGAGAGGAAGAAATAACGGCAGCCAAGGGGGCACCTATCATGGAAGAGGCCTGACCGCTTCTTCCAATTCCCGGATTGTCCAGAATCAGAAGACCAGTTTTGCAATACAGAGCAAAGTCCTCACAGTTATTCTGGAACATGTCATAATTTCCAAACCCGTTTTGGAGAAGATACATTGCACGGTGGAGAACTGTTCCGGGAGGATTAGCGGCTGCTGTGGTGCATGTTCCTCCACGCACTTTGGCAAGGAAAACAAATGTGGTTACCCCATATTCGAAGCAGTAGAGGGATCCATTTTGAAGGAAACAATCCAGACATGAGAGTACTACCCCCTATTTGGCTGTCGGAAACCACAATCAGGAAAAATCAAACAAGTTGATTGAGAGAATATGGGATCATATATATCAGAAGATGTCTTGATGCTGGTTTCAAAGTTACGTTCAGGTCTAAAATGAATCACCTTGCTTCCACCAACAAATATACCTACATGATTTGACATTCAACAACACAATGTTGAGCATGATCCAACCATGTGCATTAAACATCTCAAAACCCGTCTATCGTCTAAGTACAGTTTTCACCATCATCATCACTACTCAGAATGAAGCCTTAAGGTTTTAAGGTAGAATCACAAATTTCCCATATGCTTGATAAAGAAAGCCTTTTATGCAAGCATGGGGCAACTGAGGATTTTGACCTTAAAATAGTTCATATTAACCTTTCAAGGAAAAAGAAGCAAGAACCAGATATATGCTTAGGAATCCCAACAATCAATTAAGACGGTAATCCTACAGAGTGAAGAAACCTTGAGAAAGATGATATAACTCAGTTGATGCTGCCATGAGATCAGTCTTAAACCACCAATAAATGAATATTATGGAGTCCAAAAATATCAGCTAAGCTTCAAGTTTTAGCAGGTAACCTATAGAACCAATAGAATGGACTTAAAACTGTGGCTTAAGAGAAGCATGATTGGGGATTGAAACTTCAAGGCCACTTCTGAACAAGAAAAATAGAAAGAGAGAAATACATCTAAAAATGTTCAAATAGCCGCGACATTTAGGATCATGGCGGTAGGCTAGTGGCAAAGACATATGGTCGTCATAACTTCAATCACCTCAATGCCACTACCAAGTAACTGCTTGACCTTTGTAAGAATTACTTTCTAGATAACACTTTACATAGCTGTTTGACATGGATAAATCTGAATTCAAAAGAAAAGTTCAAAAAGAGATCAAAGGGCAAAGCTAAAATGCCGTCAGCTTAAGAAAGAGACCGCCATTTTCTATCTTCCACTGCTAAAGAAACTCCATTCCACAG